AAACACTGCCCTGCGGGATAGATCCAGCCCTTCATTATAATCTAGCGGTGCTGTTTACTGAAGCGAGCTAGACTTTTCAAGAGGGCTGAATTTTCACATGTGAATACCCTCCCCTTCTTGACCCCAAAATGAAAAGTTGCGTGATGCGGTGTGGCTGTTTACATTTTTTTCGCCATGACATGGCGTAAAGTTTACTGTTCCAATATAAATGTTTTTCTGTCTTAATTTTATGCTGGTCCCTGTAGCCGAGTCTAGACATTTTGGCTTGCAGGAACACTTGTATTATATGGAAAATGCTTCTATATGAGACAGGTATATATACATCTGGTGCCATTTTAACATCCAAGCTTTAATAGAGTTTAGTGGACTCAAAATGGGTGTGTTCCGGTGAAATAAATTTAGTTGACCAAACAAGTTGCGTTATATAAAAAACTTCAATAGATTTTGAAGACGGATCTACACATTTACATGCTAAAAAATGTTAAAAGTCATTTCAATAGAGATATTATATGAAATTACATAAATTATAAAGCATTACATATACATGGCCATTGATATACAATATATTCGCCTATCGACTTTTTGTGAATGAAATTTAACCGTGAAACCGAATAGGAAACACCTCCAATATAGTCATAAGAATTGAATAGAAATCCTAAAGATAAAAAAATTCTTTAGAAGTACGGCTTTATAAATAAAATTTATAGCGGTTAACTTAGTGATCGATTGATCAATAATTCCATATATAGACACTACAAAGGCACAAAATTTATGTCTTCAGTTAAACAGTATAAAACAAAAAAAATTCCTAAGAATCCCTGATATGCATGATTAAAAATTTATCCTATATCAAATTGTCAGTTTGAGAAGGATCTTAGTTCAACTGATACTTTATATATCCGGGCAATTTTCAGTATCACATAAAGTCCATGGTATTGCAATATAATAAACAGTTATTTCTCGAGTTATTGTTTACATTTAGAATGGCAAAATATAGCTAGATCCATGGGGTACACTATATTATTGTCAAATGAAGAAACGGCCAGATGCGATGCGATGGATGTATGACAATGTACATTTTTAATAATAAGTTTAATAATTGCAATAATAAATATACGTGGTGTTTTCAACAAGCCCAAGGATAAAATGTATACATTTTTGTTGAAATTTTTCAGTTCTATTTGGATATAAATTGCAGTTAAGTTTCAGCAAAACCACACCACAAGCACATACATTATGCACATCATAGAATTAGCACATAAAAAAACAAATTGGTTATAGGATTAAACAACAAAAAGGGTTGAGAAAAAAACTACATGACTCGTATTTACAGATCTTTTATTGCTTTACTATATTGCTAAATAATCTAGAAACAGCACTATCCATCACAAAACACCTCGCCCAGCCTCAGAAATGTACTCTGTTCTCATTCATCGCCATAGCATAGAATATATATATACAAAAGTTCAGTATACGTGAATAGTGCAACGATAATGTACATGTTATATTTTTGTATATCAAAACCAAAAACTTGGCTGTATTTCAGAAGGCTGAGGGGTTTCACACGACTTACCCAACTGCTCCAAACAATACAATGTCGAATCTGGCTCAACCTCGTTTTAAAGAAGAATATATATATATATTAACAGATCATCCAAACATTTTACAATAAGACCAATTCTGTATCATCGCCAAACAACGATCTCTTGTTTATCTAACGCTTAACATATAGATACTGTATCTTTTGTAAAGAAGATGGGTTATATGTTAAAGAATATTGGAGTTATTGGGTTAATATTGCCACGAAGTAAATAACTAGCCTATATCTTCACGGAGAATTAAATACTGATTCGATCAATGTCAATAAGATTAGCTCCTAAATTGTACTGTACCCAACTTTTCACGTGTAAGCAGAAATTCTACAGTTTGTATAGAAAATTTGTTAAGTAAATGGAAGACGAATTGTACAAAAAAGAACGTCTTCCTTTAGCGAATACGCGATGTATTTTACGATTAAGAATTTACCTAAGCCTGCCAACAGCGATATTCAAGCTTTACACCTTTGGCTGATATGGGTTAAAGAAAACGTTACAATAAATACACTATATGTACAAGCAATATGATATATAGTCGTTGAATGTTGGAAGCGAATCATTGACAGAGGCCAAAAGAAAAAATGAATTTTTACACTCTGACATTTTAGCCTTCTTTGTTAGATGGCAACACCCAAATGGATTTTGAACTGATTGTTAAATGTTATGATTATGTTAAATGTTAAATGATGATTGTTAGATCCTTAAAAATCGAGACGTGCATTCAACACGTCAAAAGGAAAACACAAAATTCACAAGGATTAACGTTCTTGTGAAGTACTTTGGCAATAAGGTAAGTCTTGCCTTAAGAAAATTTACATCTTCAGTTAGAGATTGACAGTCTTAAAATTGCTCAAGTACATTTGAATTAGTACAGACCACATAACACGAAACGTCTAGAGTGATAAAAAATTCTTCAGCAACAAATTATTTAGGATAACGCTGCCTTCTTCATTCCAATTGATTAATTCTTTTAAGTATACGAATAATTCTTTAATCATTTAAGAAATTTTCATGGGAATTTGTGTATTTAAAAGAAGAAGCTTTGGTAAATCATAATACAGAATCCTTAAATCAATTTAAACACATATGAAGCAACTAGGCTACTTCTTTTACAACGATAAAACACTTCTTCGACGTATCGAAATACATCTTATAACCTTTTAAGACCAAAAAAATTTGAGCTAATAAAAGGAAGAATATTTGGTAAACGCTATACTAACACGTCTTCTATTTTAATCAATCTTGTTTTGGACAACAATTAAGTGTGAAACTACACTCCTTCCAATTAAGAACTGCCAAAACTCGTTCACATTTAATCTAGTTTATACAAGGAAGAATCTTTGGTATAAACGCTAGGATTGACAATTATGCATGAAACCACACGACTAAATACAATGATTATCCATATGTTTAAAAAGAAGCTTTAAACACTCCTTCAATGACAACGTATTAAAATATATTTTATAACTTTCTAACATTGCGAAATTTTAGAATATGTACTGTAGAATTTTTGGCCAAAGGTACGAAAGCCATCTGCGAATACACTGATCATAACGCAACTTCTTATACACACTCCAATCAATCATATTTCGAAAAAGTGTAAAATACTTCTTAAATTATAGTTGAAGTATATACTATATGACCTGCCTATAATATCAAACAAATGAGTGAAAATTCAACGCTAATAATTAACTATATGTCGGCATCGATTATTTAACTGCAGGGTATTATATGCCGGCTTATATTATACAGTACATATATTTGTGAACAATCGTTTACGTCTCAATTAAGAGTAAAACTTTCCTTAAACGTATTCAAAAATATATTTCGTCTGCGTAAGATCATACAAATTTGCGCATCAAAGGATATAACGCGCGTTAACCGCTCGCTAAGTTACGATTAAGATGTTGACGAATATATGGCCTGCACGGCCATATTCCCTAGAATGTAAATATTATTTGAAGGAGACCCTTATACTCTCAAAGTATTTCTTAACAAGTCGGTAAATAGAATGTTATACTAATATTGACTAACGATTTAAATGTTGACTAACCGGAGTGCTTATAGGCTGTTAGGGTTATATAGCATGGCACACAAATTATAGTATTACAGAATGCACAAGATAAAGTATTACAAAATTTAAATTAGCTATGGTTTTATGTTCGTTGATGAGCTGTTGTGTTAGCCTCTTGTATGAACGCATTAATTGCTTTTTGATGCAATTGTCCCTCCCCCATAGCTTTTTTGGCTAATTGTGCCGTCTTAACGATCTTTGAACATCCTTCGTTGCCCTTAGTGCGCAAAATTATTCAATCATTGATTTCTCAAGCGACACCCAAAACTACGGGGTTTTGGGTTTATGGGTAAAATACAGCCTACGAGTGATGAATTAGTCTTTTGGACTCGGATGACTGTCTCGATTCGTTTGTTCCCATGACGCTTATCTCACCCAGCTGTCACAGGTCTTTGAAAAACTTTAAGATCCAACCACTTACTCTTCTATGACAAGTCAACGCCTACAAACAGTTCCATCCGTCGTTAACACAAAAGACACCTTTCACACAAGTCAAGTAAAACCCTAGAACTGGTTCAGTTTTTTAAGCAAGGCCTTTAGTAAGAAACTATAGTTGCTTATATAAAGACTCTTCTTTTATATGAATAAATTTTCGTATAGTGATATCATAAAATCTACGGTGAAGTGCACATATGTTTTCATGACGAAAGCAAGTGCTCGCCCAGTTCCATATAAATTTTCACATATTATCTTTTTGTGGCTTTTAACAGTTTCGTATTTGAGAATGACTGTGCTGACAAATAAGTGACTTATTGCATGGGTATAATTTTCCCTAGTGATTTGAATTAATTTTATGTCCCATGAAAGTATACAGCTTGCTTATCGTATATTATTCGTAATTCGTGCAACCTGGTCGAGCCTTATCTCGTACTAATAGACTCCCTTATGTTTAGCCAATTTTTTTCGCCAAACGCCCCAAAAACTATATTCTGTGTTATTTTCCAAGCTAGAAATACGAATGCAAAGCAAGGTTTAGTTAGGCGAATGTTGATGTGCATTTAACATTACAATGGCTGAATGGCTTTCCCACCTATTCTGCGATCTTAATGTGAGTTATGCCATTGTTTCCAATGTTCGAAAGCCTCACGAATAATTAGTCGTAGTGTTATGAGGGCCAAATTAGGTGCTAAACGCCATAATGGCATCATTGCCTGTAATTTAGGGCAGGCCTTATCACCATTGAGCACAGGAAACCGAGGCAATCAAGTTGACAAGAGCATGTCATATGGAGTTGTTGCTATTCTAATTATGTTACATCCTCCATATGTAAATCAAGCAGGCCATTTGAATACATTTAAAGTCACAGTTCCGTGTTTTTCGCATCAGTCTAAGTTTGCTCTCGTCCGAGTAGGACGACTTCAAATCTCCAAAGTTATCTCAAAATGGAGCCATTTGATCTTCCGATGTCTTCACCGTCCTTCATGGAACCTCTATCGAATGTCCGTGATCCGTACAAAGCAACGTACGTGCCCGATATGTCATTCAAGTCCCATACCGGTGAGTCACCGATAAATAATCTTCAATCACTCTACTTGGATCAGAACAATTTTGTTCAAACTACCAGTCAGGCATTGGAAGACGTTTCTTCGCACAGTAGCGCCTTTGGATCGGCGGGAAACATCTATACATGTGCGCCAGGTTTGGACCACCGACTGTTTTCACCTCAGTCACAGACGGTACCTCATCCACTCTCTGACACTACGAGCGCACTCTATAGTCGAGAATCAACACGACACGATAGCGAGAAGAACGATCTTTCCCCAGGAGCGTTAGATCCTAGTATTGGCTTCCCAAACCACCAGCTAGCAGCACCTCAGTTCCCGCGACCGAGATTCCCAGGCGATCAGGCCGATGCTTACTCCTTCGCCGACCATCCACCGTATACACAGAATCCTTTTGTTTACTTCCAACCCACTCCGCCCCGAATCAAGGAGACCACATATCAAACATCCTATAGTCAGTTGTATCCCACAGCAAATAGACCCTTTTCCAACGTGATCTGCGATCCCCATGATTTTCATTACCCCGTCGGAGACGTATTCCCAAACTCACCTTCGACACGTCGACTTAGCGGTGTCGGACATCAACCCGGCCACGATTCGAAATCTAGGCAATGTCTATCCTCAGCCGATGCTGTGGACGTCGAGGGAGTAGATGATTCGTGTCGCTGTAAAAACACCGTCGAAGGAACGAAAACCTCGGTGCGACGGTTTCGGAAGTGGTATAAAGATAAATTCGGGAAAAACCTCGACATGAATCGTGTTGATCGAAACATGGCGATTTCCTTACTCAAGGATTTTTTCCTTGAAATACGCGATACGCGGCCTGGCAAAGAAGGCAACGAATACGAACCAGTAACTCTTACGACTTATAGGAACGGACTGCGCCGCTATTTCTTAGAGAGAAAGGTCCCTCCAGCTCCGGACAATTTTGATCTCGCGGATAAGGAATTTGATATAGTTAACTATCATTTGATCACGAAACGGAATGAACTGAAACGAAACGGTAAGGGCAATCACCCTAATGTTGTAGAAAGCATTACTGAGGAACAGCTGGAAAAAATGTGGGCTTCAGGTGCGATAGGAACTCACAGTCCGCGAGCTTTACTAAGGCTTCAGTGGTGGTTAAATACGATCCATCACGGTATACGCGGTAGAATGGCACATCATGATCTTAATATCGAGGACTTTCAAATCTCGCGCTCAATGGAAGGCAAGCTGTGTATTGAACACATAAAAAACACTGCGAAACGAAAGCTTTCAGTCGAAAATGATAACGACTACACGCGCAACAAGCGAAAATGCAAGGCGAGAATGATCGCAACCGACGGAAGCGAACGAGACCCCGTTCGAGCTTTTGAAGTCTACTTAAAACATCGTCCGCCAGGAATCTCGTCGTTCTACCTCACACCAAAGCACAAACCGAAAGGCGACATCTGGTTTAACAAAGTACCGATGGGAAAGAATAGCATCGGACGAATAATGCGAGAGATCAAGGCAGTCGCTGGGATCAACTGAACATTAAAAACATTCGGTCGAAAAATAGACAAAGAAACAGTTTGTTCCTATACTCTTTGGCTAAAAGCTGTATAAAACTCTTTAGAGATAGTTCAAAAATAGACTTAAATAGCCAAGCATTTACTGCTAAACGAGTTGAACTCCTCAAAGACATTTTCTATATAGGCAAAAGGTCTGAACTATACAGGTTTTGATCATTATTTTCCCATCAATAATTGTGGTATAATACTTATAATGGGGGTATTGCAACTCATATATATTGAAAATAGAATACTTTAGTTAATGAATTCACATATGTGTTATACTAGCTTAAGTTAGAAACTAATGAAACGTGCACTTACTAATGGGACCTGTGTTTATAAAAACGGCAGATTTTATCTCACTGTAGTGCCACAATGTACAAAAACGCGAGCCCTCTGTTAACACCTTAGATATAGCAATGCAGCTAATAATTCGTACGAGCGAGGCTGTGAAAGTTTATTCCATTACTCTTTAGCGAACAAAATCTGAAACAAAATGTTTCAATATGAAATTGAACAGCACGTTGAATATAGCATAGTATAGTTCAACCCACGGTTAAAACTGATAAAATTTTGAAAAAGAACTCGCTTTTTTGTACATTGTTCGCCGACACATTAGCCGAAAACTTTTAATACGCAGGCTTATACTGCTATAGTATATATGTTTTTGCTGGGGACTATACATATAAATGTACATATAAAATATAGATCTATATATGAACATTGCCATTGGAATAGGAAGTGTAATTTGGTCGGCCTATTGTTGTATTATATTTAGACAAAAAGCTAGAAAGAAATAATTGTACATAAAAAACAAAGGAACGAAAGATATATAATAAAAGTTTGAAGTATTTAATAGCTTTGCTGTGTGAAGTCTGTGCAATGTTTACGAGTGATTATGTCATGCAAAGATCAAAGATTCAAACGGGTCCTTGTCTTGTGGCAGGTATAAAAACTCTTTATCCCAGAGTTCCTTCCCTGTTTCCGACAGCCTGTGTTATGTTAAATTTAATATATACGCACTATTAGATCTCGCCCGGTTTAATACAGTTCTATTTACCGTAAAAAAACTTTTATATATTCGCTATATGAAAGTCTATATAAAATATAAAAATTTGTTAGTAGTATCTGGCGGGCAACACCTAATTACTAAACCATGCCTCTTCGCGAAGAACAAATCTCGTGTTTGCCAGAATTTTCGGCCTGTGAATATTCTCGTGAAGGCTATATACGTGTTTGCCATATTCATGCATATAGAATTTCGCAACTAATTTGTAAAGTCGCTTTGAAAATAAGCATGATTTCATCCGAATGGAGGACTAAGCGTCTTTAATTTCCTAGCCATGTGGAGGAAACTCGTGAACCGATGAAAATAAAGGTTTTTAGTTGAAACTTTTGCTAGTTAACACACTAATGCATGACAATGGAACTATTGACTAAGATTTTTATTGTACCGAAAAATTTCAAACTATATAAAGATTAAAGAACAACAACAAGCTATAATTTATATACATCATATAAAGTGATCAAGCCTAAAGTCACAATTTCTGCCGAAATATACGTTACTATTACATTGTTATTGTATTTCACAAAATCGCCTCTTCTTATATTCTGGCTGAAAGCTTAAAATCTCAATTATGAATGCTTCAAATACGATTAAAATGGTCTAGGATGTCTCGAAAATGGGACTCTAAATTTTGCTAAGAACGTGCATCACTCGAAAAAGCAAGACATTTAATTTAAGCAATCCATATAATCTCTTCAATGTATCAGCTAAAGTCAGTGGACTCTGCACGCGCTATACAGTTGTAAACAGCTTCATTTAAATTCAAAAATACGGTAAAAAATTTAATAAACCACTTCAAAATGTTTTTGAAGAACAGCAGTCATATAAGCCTTAAATTCACATGCATTTTTCAATAGATTTTTGTGGCCAAATCGAAACTGATTATATATAACAACACGTATATGGATTGGCAAGCTTTACTATAAATGTACGTAAACTACAAATTTACATATGTGAAGTTCTACAGTGATCAGTGTATTAACATCATATAGTATATTATTTTTCTATTATCATTCATATTATTTTCATAACTAATCATGCATATATGTAGCGTTTCCTAAAAAAATTTGACTTTGTCTTTTCGCTGAGAAAATAGTATAATAAATTTAACTGGATTTTTGGCAGAATCATGCGACAGCAGTAAAAATCAAATTAAAATTTTACAAAGTATAGTTTATATATTGTGAACTTTTAAATTTGACGGATAAAAAAAATATATGCACTGACAATTCCCAAGCTCCTCAATAGTTTCCCAGGAGTGAATTTCACAATACTGAATTCTTCACGGCAATTTTGCCCTATTGTATACAACAAGGGCACTTGTGAAGGCTTTGTAAAATCGGTGAGAAATTTTCTCGAGCGGCTAGAAACTTTTACACATGCGTTTGCCGCTAGGCACAAGATCAATATTGAGGTACTGGTCAAGCATTTAGAGACGAATTAACTTAAGGACCCGTTAATGTTATCGATTTCTGGCAATATATGTCGCAATGTGGTGTTGAAATTGCAACATTTTAAACTAAGTTCGAAGCAAAGAATGGAAGGAATCCTGATGAATCGAGGTAAATCTTCTTCTTCAATTCCCCATATTGATGGATTTGTCCTGCATTGAATATATATTTCAAAACCAAGTTAGCCCTCCTCTGAGAACCATAGGAAAGCATAGTATACTGCAACTACAAGTGAAAATGAATCGTTTTCTTGAAATGAATAGCTTATTGTCTATATTGATATTATGTTACCTCTTTTCTAATACGAATCCAAAACTTATGTATCATATTATTTTCCATGAAAACAAGCTAGGTGTTTGCTAATGAAGTAATCCAGAAGTTATTCAAAAGAGGACAGGGTTTAAAATAAAAATAATAAGACCTTTTATGTCAAGTATATATGTATCTCACCCACAATATCCCTATAAATTACACTACCCCAACCTCATTTAAAGTCAGATTACTTTCCTGAAATTAAGCTAACTGTTCCTCTTGTATCGAAGATGTTTAAAAAATAGAAGAAATAGTTCCTTACACACGAAGTCGAAGAAATTGTTCAAAAAATAAAAACCAACCATGGTAGCCATTTTAAATTTATAAACTCCATGAGAAGTGGTATAACGGATCGAGGATTACTTTCAAGCGTGACAGTCTGTCCTTATAGTTTAGAAGCTATATTTTAGAAGATAAATTATAAATTTAAAATGATGTCTACGAATCTTTAGCTATATAGCAGTTGAGATAATATATTCCTGTGGCATACGGCTAACAGTAGACTTCAAATACATTTGAAAGGAAATTCTATACAAGTTTTCGATAGCTAAGTAGCCAATGTACAAATTGTCCTAGCTTCGAAAGGCTGTAATAGTTGACTTCAAAATACGATCTGAAGTCTGCCGGAAACATCGAATTTTATAGGTCTCTTAAAAAGCCCAGAATATATAAACTCGTAGATTTGGTCATACAAACTCGACTCTTTGTTCAAATTGATGTGTCACTAGCTGCATAGGGGAATGAAAGAAATCAAGACGCGGAAATCTTCACATATAAAAGAGAAAAACAGTAACTTAGGAACAAGACATATCTTTTGTCATCCCATATAGAAATGATTGTGGCAATGCCAACAGATTGTACTTCATGTATTATAAAATTTGTTTATTTCGTGAAGACTAGAAATTATTTGCGAGGTCGGATGACAACTTTTACATGTGATATGGAATCGAAATTAGCATGGCACATAAATTTCGTTGATCACCGGTATGCATGTTTGTTGATCATAAATTTTGATGATCTTTGTCTGAATAGAATCTCCTTAGAGTACGTTTCTGATGTCGTAGAAGAATACACCATTCTATTTGTAAATCTAATGTGTCGAGCAATCAACAATGGGTCTTCTAATTGCAAGTGAGATCCCAGACAATGTTTTAAGATTGTACTTATAAAAAGTTATAAAGTCTTGTGGATTTTGTCCGAGGATTTTTGATTCTTTGAAGTTAGAAATATTTTTGATAGTTTGAAGTTAAGTTATTGCGATGAGGAATTGGGGAAAGCGAAAGAAGGAAGTCTTCATATATGTATCAGAGGCTTGCAGCACGTAGAAACAAAACTGAAGTCAGATTTACTCATCATAGATTTTGCTTTCTTACACATACAAAACGCATTTTGTCGTAGCGAGTTGAAACTAATAAATCCTGGTGATGAGGGATACGTTTTTAAAACTGAGTTCAAAGGAAAAGTAATTTGTTAATAGCTGTCATTAGTGAAGGAAATGCGACCAGGAACTCTTCGTACATATAAAAGACGTTTATGCAAGGAATACAGAATCCTGCCGTCACACAAATTTTGGTTACAATGCTACTCTGGTATGCATTGTATCTTTCGGTAGCATGTGAAAATAGCGGACCAATATGGGACGACATGCACGTACTGTATATATGTGTCTCAGTTTAGTAGAAAGATGTGATAGGGACATCCAATATATAACTAGAGTTAGTTGGCAGTTCATTTGGTATAGATCTCTGCCAACATCTAAACAGTCAGACAGGAACCCGATTACTTTACTGAATCTCATGAGAAAATAGTTTCGACAGACATGATATAGACATCCAATATAACTATAGATCTAGTTGGTCTGTCACCAGTTCATTTGGTAGAACTATGCGAGCATCAAAAATATTACACAAAGAGTGCATGACACCACCTAAACGTTTGTACATTTTACAAGATGAGTCATGTTTTCTTTGGTAAAAGAAAAGCGTGAGCTAATACCCAATTAAGGCAGAGTGAAGGAAACGAAACAAGGAAGTCATTTCATGGTAAACATGCCAATAGGAATTTTGATTTCCTGCTTGTAATGTTATGATGTTTACATTTTTGTGAATGTTAGGAACTTCAGATATGAAATCGTTAACACATGCAACCGCGTCTTAGAACTCGAAGATGTGGTTTTCTTTCTCACCCAGTACAAATAACAATCTGTTGAAAGTCTCTGTTGAAAGTCGTGAACTTCCTTTGCTTCCTCCCACGGGAAAACGTGGTGACAGGAATGGTTTGGATAGAATGAGAAATAAGTGTTAACATCAGTTAAATACACATACTAGTAATATATTTAAACTTTTCGAGAAAGCCAATCATCTGAGATTGCCAGTGCAATGACAAAACTAAAGGTTTAAAATATATTTCAAAGTGATACACCGAGTTAAAACTTATGGAATTTTTCAGAATAGTTAAGATTCCATCTGAATAGGAAAGATTGTTAACAGTTATAATGAAAGAGACAAGGAAATAATAATCTAGACAAAACTATGAAAGAAATAAACCATACGAATTTATAACGTTCCAAATAGGGTACCATATAATTCATTTGAAACACCGCACGAATTAAATGGTATCAGTATATAATGAAACATGAGTATACGAATTTTGCCTCATTACGAGTTAAGGATTCTTTGTTACAGAGCAAAAGTGGCCACAGTTGCAAGAAGAAGTAACAGGAACCTTCGTTGATAAGGAAATTTTTTATGCGTTCGGTAAAGAAACTTAGAAAGACCCACACGAATTTCTAAGGTTCCTAATAAGGCACCATACATAACGAATTCGAAACAAGTCACAAGTGTAGCATAATCATGGTAGGATCGCCGCCCGACAGGTTCTATGCATGAGTTCAGAGTTCAGTTCACACAGAAGCGTTGAGCTGTCGCGTGTACCGGGTACTTGAGAAACGGATGGAATATTGGGCCACAGCCCTGTCTCTCATTTCCTTTACCTTTTGAATAGAGCTAAAAATGAAACATGATTTCACCGTTCAATTCCCATGAATTGCCAAATGCATACACAGATAGAATG